GTCCTTATAAAGGGTCTATATAAGGATTACTATAAGGGGTATTATAGGGGCTTAGTATAGGAACCGAACCTGCTTAAGAAACCCAAGGCCTTTATGTTAGGGTTCCTTTAAAGGGGTCTATAAGGGTTCCTATAAGGGATCTATAATGAGGCTACTAGTAGTGTAGGAACCTGATGAAGAAACCCTGGGCCTATAACCCCCAAAATGGTAGGGTTCATACAAGGAACCCTAATAAAGGGCCCAAGGTGTCTTCATCAGGTTCCTACATTATGGAACCCTTTAGAGCACCCTTATAGATCCCTTATAGGAAACCTTACAGTACCCTTATAGGAATGCTTATCAGAATCCTTCTAGGAATCCTTATTATAGAACCCGAAAGGAAAGTCTAACACCGGAAACTCAGAGCTGTGTAGCGCGAAATGTGAAGACCAGATCCCGGCCTCGGGACCCTTACTTGGAGGTTTATGGGTAGTAAGTAGGGTAGCTAGACTTATAACTCCAACTCCTATTCGGGGACTTATAACCCGACTTATAACTACCCATGAACCTCCAAGTAGGCGGTTAGGGGAGAGGGGGTTAGGGGACTATACTTCTTTAAATGCGCCTTATTTTGTCCTTTAAGGCCCCCTACCGCCCCTACCCCCTCCCCCATACCCTCCTAAGGGTCCGTATGATACAGCACATTTGAACGCTCTCGCAGCCATAAACCCAGATCCAATTGCCGAATCCCTAGGTCCCCCACCTCCACCGCGCAAGGAGGCCACAAACACATCCACCGGTCACTTGTAGTTGACCTCGGGACTCTTGATGTAAGGTTGCGATGTATGACGACTGATTCTCACTACCGCTGTTTGCAGTTGTTTCTGTTGCTGCGCCATGTGTTTCTAAGCTGTTTTGGCGCAAGACATCAGAAGGGCTGCGATCATGATTCCGATTGCCCGTTTGGGCCATCATGCTACAGCTAGAGTAGTACGAACAGCAAGAGAACTTCAAGTATTCAGCTGGCACTCGCGATAATAGCAACATCGGTCGATGTGAGTTTTCGTGGAGAAAGCAGCAGAACCGAAGGCTACCTCTGAACCCTGAACTCTACAGCCCTAAACCCCCTTGATGAACTGTAGGCTTCACTGGCACTAGTGGCTAGAGGATTCAGAGTCGACGTACTACGCGGGTGCAGATTATTGTTGAGGGTTTTTGGGTTTTTAGGGTGTAGGGCTTTAGGGTTTAGTGTTCCAGTAAAGTGAGGCATTCATGTTTCTCTCTCCAGCAGCCAGGTGGAGAATGGGGTGAATAGGCGGCCCGAGCCAACGCAACTACATTCTGAGTTCTAGCCGAAGCACTCGAGTGTAAACCTTGTTGAAAGGATAACTAATTACTAATCCTTTCACGTGTGCCTTCTGTGATGAGATGTACGACGTCCCGATGAAGACTTCTTTGGACAGGACGACGATGAGCAAGCAGAAGTGCAGCGCATCGTCCTCAAAGAGGAGAGAGGGAGTTTGAGGGACGCTTAAACAGCTTAAACCTTACAAACTCCAAGAGAGTTTAGGGTTCACCAAAGTTACAGGGTTCACGGTTCAGAGTACGCATCTGGACAAGTCTGTTCTGCGAAGAGATATTTCCCTAAACTCCTGTCCTCATGCCCCACAAGCTCCACACTCTGACCTTATACATTGGGTACGGCCCCCACTCAGTAACAGTTGGATAATATTCATAATATAGATATATATATATATATATATATATATATATATATAGATAGATATATATATATATATATATGGCCCTTGATAGTAGTCCTATTATAGACTGTTACTGTATGGGGGCCGTACCCAACTTATACACCACAAGCTCCAAGCCTAAACCCGAAACTCTGAACCCACACTGTGTACCTTCCCAGCCCAAGTCATATCCTAAACCCTAAACCCACACTGTCTAGCCCCCCAAGCCATACACTCTGAGAGGACGAGACGCCGAAGCTGCTTCTTCACACTGCCACGGGCTTTTGCGTGATCTGCATGCCGAATGCTCAGTCTTTGCATCATCGACGTTGTAAAGGTTACGATTTAGGGTTTAGGGTCAGATTCAGCGCTGAGGGTGGTACGAGGTTTGGGTTATCCTGTGGTGGGTTCATGAAGCAGGGTTTACAGGGCTTAGGTTTAGAATTTGCACTGAAACCCTCAACCCTGCAATTCGGGTTTAGATTTTCACCTAATGCAGGAACCTGATTAAGAAACCCTGGGCCCATAACCCCAAAACAGCAGGGTTGAGAATACAAGGAACCCTAATAAAGGCCCAAGGTTTCTGAATCAGGTTCCTTCCCGAAAACTTAAACCTCTGGCCTAAGATGTAAAGTGTATAGGATTTAGGTTTAGGGTCAGGTTCAGCGCTGCGGGGGTTATTTGAAGCTTACATATCTGGCCAAAGATGTAAAGGGTAGCTCATCTTCGGCTCAAAGGTCAGACTTGTATATGGCGCAGTGTTTACGGTTTAGGCACGGTTTAGGCCGATATAGTTATGCTTATGCCTATGGGGGTTTTAGGACCCGGAACACTACACTTTCCCTATTATTCATGGGGTTTAGGACCCTGAGCCCTACACGGCACGTCCTATGGACACTACATGGGGCTTCAAGCAGCGTTCCGAGGGCGGTGGAGCAACCTATGGAGGGCGTAGATCCCGACATGGAGACGGAGGACGCATTTGGGTTGAACTTGGGTTTAGGGTTTAGGGTTCGGGGTTTGGGGCTTCGGTGCTTTTAGGGTTTGGGGTGTATGCTTCAGGAGATGGGGCTTTTAGGGTGGAGGGTTTGCGGTTGAGTGCAGGAGCAGAAACCCCAAACCCAAACATCGTTAAGCCCTAGACCCTAAACCCCCAGACCTCAAACCCTTAAACGCTTCAACGCTAAACCTTCAACCCCCTTCAACCCCTTCAGCCCTGAAATCTTGAAACCCTAAACCCTCGCAGCCTTAAAACCCTGATCTCGAAGCCTCTGAGACCTAAGAATCTGACTCTTGGCACTTTTTCCTGGACTCCTCTAGGCCTTTTCGCTTAAAGTTTTAGGGGTTCAGAGTTTAGGGGTTTGGGGGTTAGGATTTACCGTTTAGGGTCGTAAACATCCACTAACTACAAGTCTTCGGGTTGAGGGGCTCGGGTTTAGTTCTTAAAGGATCATGGGACTTAGTAACTGGGGCTATGATTAGGGTAACTATACTTATAACTGCTTATAACCCCAATTAAGGTACTTATAACCTTACTTGCTAAGTCCCATGATCCTCCAAGTTTTCTAGCGTTTCGGACTCAGCTGTCTAGCTTTTAGGATTCAGCTTGTTGCAGCCTTAACTTGGAGGTTCAGGGGTAGTTATAAGAAGGGTTATATAAGTAGGGTAGCTATACTTATAACTCATATGAGAGGGCTTATAACCATACTTATAATTAGCTACCCATGAACCTCCAAGTAGGGTTCAGGCTTCTTGTATCAAGTAGTTTACGCACAAACCCTTACAACATACTCACGACCCCGGTCCCACCTGCCACCTCACCAACACCCGCCCCACCTCAGGTCAAGTTGAGTATCATGTTGTTTCTATTCTTGCTGTTTGTATTTTATGGGCGTAGGGCTTAGGCTGGTCTTCTCAGATGGGTAGTTGTCAAACTTATGGTCCCTTTTTGGGTACCCTAAATATCAGGTGCCATATTATAATAGGGACCCCAAAAGGCACCCTAATTTTGACAACCACCCAGATGTTCTTAGCTGACACTTCAAGATGGCTCCAGGAGCCTCCACCCGATGGCCCTGTCGATGATGGAGACGACCAAGGCACATCAGGGGTGCTTGGAAGATCTTGGGACTTAGTAAGTAAGGTTATAAGTCCCTTTATCGGGGTTATAAGTAGCTATAAGTATAGTTACCCTAGTTATAACCCTTGTTACTAAGTCCCATGATCCTTTAAGTAGACCCTAAACCCTAAACCCTATAGATCCCTTTAAGGAACCCCTATAGATCCCCCTTGAAGGAGCCCTTAAAGGAACCCTAGTTACCAAGTCCCATGATCCTTTAAGGGGGAGATCCTGGGGCTGACGGGTTTGGGTTGAGGGTTTGGGGTTTCGGGTTTGGGCTTCAGGCTTTGGGGTTTGGGGGGATAGGTTATAGGTAGCTACAAGTATAGTTACCCTAATTAAAACCCTAGTCACTTTGGGCTTCAGGGTTTGGGGTTTAGGGTTCACGGTTTGGGGGGGTAGGGTTTCGGGTTTGGGGTTCAGTGGCTGTCTCTAATTGGGAGACCTTTGTCGGTAGCTTCCGGTGTTGCAAGACAAGAGAGGGCAGTGGAGGACTCTGGGTATGGATTTAGAAAGCCTTTTTCTTTTGAACTTGCGCTGCGGGAAATGGCCACCTCTGGAGGCTTTGAGTTTATCACTGGGTTGTCCTTTGGGATCGCTTTTAATTTCCCCTACTATTGTGTAGAGAACCATAATAGTAAATAAGTTTCAAAGGGCTTAAAGGACAACTCAGATCAACCAGCTGGGTTTGACTTGTAGTAGCTTTGCATCTGTGGTGTCGTGGGGATGGCCACTCGCCCCAACCTGCTGAGGATGTACCGCTGGGACTTAAGGCCCTTCCTGCTGCCCAAAGCCCTGAACCCGAAATCCCTAAACCATAAGACCCCAAACCCTAAACCCATGTGTGTCGCGAGCACTCGCCTCTCTCCCGACAATCCCGTGGGGGACCGACCCCACAACTCATGTTGATGCTATTCATAGGCATCTCCACACCTGCCTGCAAAATCTGCCAGCCGCGCCCAAGAAAGCGCGGAACCCTGCTCTAACACAGCAAACCATTGACCTTGTTGTCGGCAAGAGACACGCGCAACGATGCCTTCGCATCACAAGGCAGCGCACTCGCCTTGCATTCTTACAGGTCCTCTTTCAAGGATGGAGGGGATGTGGCCCGCTCTTTCGAGCGGCTAGAGCAACGCACGAGTGCGCCTGCCGATGCGAAGATGGATGGGTTGCGGTTTTTCGTCGATTGCGTGCTGAACTCACCCAATCCATGCTCAAAGACAAGGCCGACTTTGTCAGGCGCGGCTACCAGCAAGCCCGAAACGACGGACCGAGAGAGTTCCAGTACAAGCTTCGAGCCGTCCTCCGGTGTGGGCGTAAGTTTCGTGCCCGTCATTGGCCAACAGCCAAAGGAGGAGATTGGGCGTCAGAGCGTTCTGGACGCATTCTCCTGTCACTTTGCGGGACCAGAACGTGCAAAACCTGTGGCTTTGGCAGACGCGCTATCAGCCCGTCCCTCCGCCTCAGTCAGCGGCCAGCTTGAAGGAGATCGCCTACCCAGCATTGTCCAACTGACAAGTGCGTTCGGCCGTCTCAAGCCCAATAAGGCGGCGGGGATTTCTGGACTTCCTTCAGAAGTCTTCCGAGCAGCACCAGTGTTGGCGGCTCAAGCCTTCTGGCCTGTGCTGCTCAAATCCATCGTCCGTGGCCCTTTTCCATTTCAATGGCGCGGAGGTGCTGCGGTCACAGTTCCAAAACCTGGCAAGGCCTCCAATGAGCTTGAAGGTTACAGGTCGGTTATCCTGCTCGAACCATCGGCTAAAGCGGCACAGGTGGCTTACCGTCCACTTTTACATGATGAGTTCCTAAAGCTGCGCACCCGTGTCCATTTCGGAGGGGTTGCAGGGGCGCCCCTCTCTCTCCCCGCTGCGTGTGTCAAAGCACACCTTTTGCACTTGAACGCCACAGGATCCAGCGGAGGGGCTGTTTTCGTTGACTGCAAATCGGCTTATTATAGTGTCGCTCGGGAGGTGCTCAAGGCCACACCAGCGCAGTTGGCCGATGACGAATGGGCCCATCGCAGAGCGGCGATCTTTTTCACCCAAGAAGCGGATCGCAGAGCATTCATTGCAGCACTGCGTGCCCACCCTGCGCCGGCACAACTCAGCCACTGCCCTGAGCTAGCTACCATCCTCCGACGCCAGCTAGAAGGCACCTGGTTTACCACTCGACCTGAATCCCACACAGTGATGCAGGCGGAGTCTGGAACGATGCCTGGATCACCAGTCGCTGACCTCCTCTTTGGGGTCGTTTTCCATCGCATCCTCTCAGACATTAACGCCTGCCTGAATGAATTAGGCTGCTGTGCCTTTCCAGGCTTCTGTCAGAACGGGGAGACTTCACCAACTGAGCCCACTTGGGCTGACGACGTCTGCATCCTATTTCAGGTTGTTAAGGCTCAGCAACTTGAGGAGGTCCTCCAAGCTATCATGCAGGTAGTGACCACTGCCATGCAGCAGCAGGGCCTGGCTGCGAACCTTGGCGCAGGCAAAACTGAGTGTATGTTAGTGGCGCACGGCCCGGGCTCACAGACTGTGCGACGCAACCTGCTGACACACGCTCAGCCGAGTGTCTCTTTCAACGGGCCGAAAGGGCCCGCCAAGGTCCGGCTCGTGCCTTCCTACACCCATCTGGGGTGCGTCCTCAGAGCAGATGGCAACGACTTGCCAGCTCTGCGCCACCGAGAACAGCAAGCTCAGAGCATGTATGGGCCAGTTAGGCGTAAGCTCCTCTGCAACCCCTATCTGACAGAACGGGAGAAGTTGGAGGTCTTCCGCTCGCGAATTCTGTCCTCTTTTCTGCACGGAGCAGGGTTGCTCGTCCTACGGACAAAGGCGGAGCAGGACAAATTCACTGAAGTCATCTCGCGATTTCACAGGGGAATTTTTCGTCCGATCCTGTCCATCTCCAGTACAGGATACTCCAATGAGGAAATCGCCACGATTCTCAACTTGGCCTTGCCCTCTGAACTTTTAGATGTTGCCCGAGCAAGGACTCTGGCCGATATCTGCAACGCTGGCCTTGACCCTGTGCTGAGATGCCTATGCTCAGACCAAGACTGGTGGTCACAGGCAATAAAGGCCTCGGTCACTGTTGGGCTCCTCCCAAGAGCCGCCGAGACTGTGGACGACCTTCGTCGGATCATGCCAAGCACTGCCAAATCTGTCTCTCTCGCCTGCAGGCGGTTCCTCAGGACACGTTGTGCCTCGAGGAAATTTGACAGAACAAAACTCGTCCCGCGAGACGAGCCCGACGTGCCTGCAGTCACTCACTCGGCTGGACCTGCGTTGGCGTGGCCTTGCCACCTCTGCCACCAGGCCTTCAGCGGGCGTCGACAGCTCGCAGTGCACCTGTCAAAACATCACGGGCAACGACCCGCACAAGTCCGATGTGCTTTCGGCACATCGTGCCAGAAATGCCAGGTTGAGTTTTGGTCTTTGCGCAGACTTACAGAGCACTTGCGTAAGTCTGACTTGTGCAGGGCTGTATACTCAGCCTCAGACATAGACGCTGATGCACCAGCGCCTACAACCAACGCATACGCGTGGCAACCCGCGGTGCGTGTGGAAGGACCGTCGCCATGGTGGGCCACATTGGCGCCTCCATTGTGCGACGAGCCCTCTTAAGTGTTTTGTACAGTCTTTGTTCTCCGGTTTGAGGGTGCGCACAGCAAGCGGCGTTTTTCCCTCGTTGCGTGCGAATTGATCTTGCACTTTGGTCTGAATTGCCCGTGAAAACCCAAAGCCCCTGAACCCTGAAACCCCCAAACCCTGAACCCCCAAACCCAAAAGCTTCAAATCCTTAAACCCTAAACTTCTGAACCTAGGAAGCTGCTGCGTCTTGTGGGATATGTCTTTTGTTTTTAATAGGGTTTTGGCTTGGTACCGGATCCCGAACAAACCCCTGCCCTTGAGGGATGTGCAGTCGCTCATATTGACATATTGTCTTGCGCATCTTTCCCCCCAAAGGTTCTTAATATCTGCACTTCAAGCCAAAACCCTGAAATCCTGAACCAGCGCCGTAAATCCTGAGTGATCTAATCTGCACTCTGTGGGCCGCTACGAAACCCGAAGCTTGCTGCAGATCGGCTGTAAGAAGAGTCTGGCGGCGTTGCCAAACCCAAGGGTCCATGTATCCAAAAAATATATACTTCGGCCTTGAAGTACTCCCTATATAGGTACATTGGGGCCAAAGTATATGCTATTTGGGTACATGGACCCTTAAGCTTGAACCCTATATAGAGCCCTTATAGAACCCTTATAGTATCCCTTAGAGGAAGCATTGAAGGATCCCTATTTGGATACATGCCTGGAGGGAAACTCATATCTCGTGCCCAAGCCTCTCAAGGAGACGAGCCGGAAGCAACTCTTCCTCCGAGCGAGGACGGACATCTTTTTGGGGTCTGGGAGGTTACTATATGGGGGCCTTAATAAGTACCTGTACTATTTGTTGGGGGGTTCCTTTATTGCTATAAGTAAAGTATTAATGGGCCGCAAAACCTTATTCTAATTAGTAAGGCCCCTATATTAGATATATGACGGGTTGCATTCCAGGGATTTTAGGATGTCGTACCGTACTGTTTCGGCTTGTTTCCTGAGGCTCCCATGCATCCTGCTTGGAGGATCATGGGATTAAGTAAGTAAGATTATAAGTACCTTAATTGGGGTTATGAGTAGTTATAAGTAGAGTGAGTTACCCTAATTATAATCCTAGTTACTAAGTCCCATGCTCCTTTAACTTTAAGTATTGCTTCGGGTTTGTATTGAGCCCCCTTATTATCCGGATCACTGTGAAACTCCAATGGTATTGTAATGTCGTTGAGAGGCTCATCACGCTCGCTTCCGGTGAGGATGATGCTGTAGACAGGCCGGAATTAAGAACTACTCAGGTGATCCAAGTGCGTAATCTACATTGAGGCTCCTGCCGGGTATTGCATTGGCATACTGGCGTTGGGCTGTATGCCTAGTCGAGACTTTCTTCCGGCTTCGTTCATCCACATGTTGAAGCCTTACATCTTCAATTCATTCGAGCTGCTTGTTTATTCTGAGCTTATGCTGTCAGCTGCCTCCTGTCGGCACGTTATTCCAGCCAGCTGCCAAAACCGTGAAGCCTTAAGCCTCAAGGTATGCCCATTCCCAAAGAGTCCAAGTACCAAGCCTTGCCGAACCTACCATCCCGGCGTGCTTTGCATGCTTACTTCGCGCCTTGTCCTTGGGTAGAAGCGGCAGACAGATTGCGCTTCCGGGCAATATCTACCGCTGCGCAATCGCAAGGAGCGCGCTGTGCTGGTCTTCTTCGATAATGGCCACTCGTGCTCGCTTGCAACCTGCAGCTCCGACCCTATGCACACCCGAAATCTCAAACAGAGATGGGCAGCCACCCGGGTACTACGCCATCTGCAGCCCTGGGTTTGCGATACCGTTAGTACTGAACGCCAGTCTACTTGGAGGATCATGGGACTTAGTATGTAAGGTTATAGGTACCTGAATTGGGGTTATAACTTATAAGTAGCTATGAGTATACAGTTCCCCGATTTAAAATTATAAGCCTAGTTACTAAGTCCCATGATCCTTTAATTTAAGTAAGTCAGGGGCTTGAAGCTCAATCGCAGAGAACCCATCCCTCAGAGGCCGAGACCCATCAAACTCAACCCTTGACCCTGAAGAAACCACTGAAAGCCTGAACCCCTAAAACTGTGGGGGATTTTGCAGCCTTGTCTTTCTGCTTTGCGGCTGGAACGGAGGTGCTTTTGAGGTTAGGATCAGGATTTGGGTTTCAAGGGGCAGGCTTTGAAGCCAAAGAGGTTTAGGGTACAGAGTGGTCTAGGCTTTTAGGGTTGAGGTTTGGGGTGTAGGTTTGGTCTTCTGCAGTACGTTGTCGGTAGGGTTATCAAACCAAGTCCGATCGGTGGACACCTGATCCGAAGCTATCTTGCTGAGGGCTTGGCATTGAGGGCAAAGACCCCTGCACGCGCCTCAAGAACTAAAGTTTAGGGCTTCGGATAAAAAAACCCAAATCAACACTAAACGCTAGATGAGCCTTTGTCCCAAAACCGGGGTTCGAGCAGCCATTACTTCACCTGCGACATTGAAAACCAGAAAGTGCAGCGAAACCGAAACCCCAAACCGCCCTAAGCCCCGAAATGCCTTCGCGAAACGATCCACCAGGCAAGGGCCCCCAAGAGCCCATCGTTTTGGGCATTTCTCTTCAGCCTAATGGCCTTGTAGTGCAGAATACAGACATCGGAGAAACTTGCAAGCTAGTAGGATCCCTTATAGTTCTCATATGCCGTTTTAGGGTTCAGGAAAAATACCGTGTTCTAGACATCGAGGCCTCGATGTTATGTGAGTACTCATTTGCCACTTGGACGCTCTTAGTGCCCAAGTGTAAATTCCCAGAGTTCTGGATTAAGATAGGACGAAGATAGGGCGCACAACGATTAGAACAGGGTAGTTGTTTGGGCTTCTTTATGATGCCCATGAACCCCATGCAGGTCGGTCCGTGGTAACCTTGTACCTCGAAGATTCAGGGGTCTCTGTCGTAACACCGGTAACACTACGAAGAAATCGGAGCATCCTGATTTTTGAGTGGGTTTAACATTTCCTAAGAACCCTGCTTTCGTAGAAGCAGTCACTGCTGCACAGGGAAGTGTGGGCATGCCTCAACTGAAAGCACTCAAGACGAGTAAGGGGTTTAGAAGTGTGGGGTTTCGTGCGAGTCAGCAAAGTGAGTGCCTAGAGTCATTACACCACTTCGCCAGAAAGTTGGAATATCATTATCATACTCCCTTTAAGGTAAATTATAGGGGATCCTGCCATTGTTCCATATTCCAACTTTCTGGAGTTCCTTTTACACCACTGCGCAGAAGGGAAGGCCGATTCAAACGCTTGCTCGCCCCCCCCCCCCGGCAGAGACTCAAACCCCACTTGTATCTGCAAAGGCCGAAGCGCTATAACCCACGCTTCGACCTCACCCTAACCCTAAGGCCCAAAATAGCCCAAAAGCCTTATATAGTATGGTCTTTGGGCCCAAACGCCTTAAAATACGAGTCCTTAGAGCCTCCGGGTGAGCCTAATCTGTAAACGCCCAAGCTCAAAGCCTGAAGCCCTAAACGCCACCGTTCTTCGGCGCTCACACGCCGAACCCTAAGGAAACAATTGCACATGTTTTCCTTAGGATTCCTTCATGTATAGGTTCTTTCATTCTTCATGTAGTCCTTAGCACCCTGGCAATGTACCCTAAACCCTAATCCGAGTTATGAAGGCCCGCCTCAGCCTCGACGCTATGCCCTTCAAGTCTTGATTTCCTTCTGAGGGTGCGTCGAAAAGTGAAGCTTTAAGACATTTTCTTCTAGGGTTCCGTGATGAAAACCAAATAGAAGGAACAAATTGTGCCCTTGTTCTTACGGGGCCGATCAGGAGCCTAGTGAACGAGGGTGCCCTTATCAAACGATTCCCAGAAAAGCCATAGGTTTGGGCTCTAGGAATTTAGATGTAGGCTCCGGGTTTATATATATATATATATATATATATATATATATATAGGAGCCTGAACAAATGGGCTCCTTATGATCATAGGAAATGTCAGGACCCCAAACCCTGTTCTGATAATGAAGGCCCTACAGGAAGTGTTCCTTGGGTACCCTGAGTTCTGGCGGTCCTCACCCGGCCTCAACCAGTCTTTCAAGCTCTACGTGTCCACATGGCATCAGGGTTTAGGGTTTAGGGTATATACTTTAACTTAGTTTTTGGGGCTTTGGAGTTTTGGCTTCAAGGTAGCCCTAATGGTCTATAGTGCATTTACGGAGCCCTCAAGGGAGAAGTGCAGACTTTGTGCTGTGATACTATTAGCAAATTCAGCTGCCAAATATGTTTAAATCGGCATTTTCGCTTCACCCGTGTACATGGAACGTTTGTTGCGATCTTAAACCCCCCGAAAGGATCACGAAATCCAACAAATGCAGATTGGGCCAAATTCCCAAGTAGGTTGGTTTCATGAACGCGCGACCTGACTCCAGAGAAAACACGACAAACTGTTTCACAAGTCGATCCCGACAACCCTCGTATACATGCACATTGACAGAAGCCGAACAAACCCCCAACAACGCATCGCTGTTCGGTTACTTTTCCATAATTTTCCGGTTTCACGCCTCTGAGTTCCGGTGGAATCAGAAACCATCAGCAACCAACTCTGACAATCCATGGTGGGCCATGGGACAAGAGCGCGAAGAATGGAGGGATCGAGAGGGAGAATCTCGACATGTGAGTTTAGGATCGCCTGCAGCCATGTGAGCTTAGTGACATGTCAGTTCTGTGCCACCACAAGCTGAAAGATCTCGCAAAGTCAGGGACAGTGCTGCCGCACTTGTTCAGTGAATCATGTGTGGTGCGAATTTTCCGTTTCAGAGATCATTCGAAGACTATAGGGCGAGGGGTTCACGGCTTCGGGATATCGGGTGGCAGTGTTTCCGGTTCCTGGCCACCCTGCCAGCTCACATGCTCAAGAAGCTCTTCCCCACGCTTGCAAGCAAGGCACCAATTTGCCTTACAGTGCGGGTGTCCATACCGGTGCTTCTGAAGTTTAGGTGCCCTATTGCTTGGGCTCCAATTACTGGCGATCCGCATTT